AAAAGAAAAAATATATTTATCGCGTATTTGTTGTCATGAACTCAATATTACGGAGAAGACCTCAGTTTCCTATTGCCGAGTGTTGTTCAGTTATCCTGTAAAAAAAGTGATTTCCTTTTTTTTCAACTAGTTCTTCGAGAATAATAAACATACCTATATATATATGGCCTTCGACTTCCTAAAACGAAAAGATCGAATAAAAGTTAAGGTTTAGTACCAACAAATGAATCATTTAACATCATGTTCCATCTAAATTGATACATTTATTTCCTCGATGCTCCATGCACGTAAATCGGGAACAAGAACTTCCTTCTTTCTATTAAATAACAACTCAGTCCATTCAGTTTCAATTAAATATACTATTAGTTCCAACATATTATGCTGGAGTACTTTACCCCGGAATATCTTTTCCGAGGTTTAAAAGATAATAACAAGATCTTATGCTATCATACTTCAATAATTGCAAGTTAGTAACTAAGATTATGAAAAAATGAATTTGAGCCATATTTTTTTACGACTTTATAACAGTCGAGTTGTCTGAACTTTCGATGATTAAGCCCTTCGTTTCATGCAAGGTCACAAAGAGTAGCATATATTCTCTGATTCTTGCATCTACCATGCACAAATCATACCTATATTTTTTAGCAAAATTTAATTACTAACTTACGGTGAAACATTGAAATCTAATCATATCCCACATAGAAAAATGTATCAATAAACATATTCCCAATCGCGAAACACTTCGACAAGCAACGAATAATTAATCGGGGTTTCAGCTGATGGAAATAGTTATATGCAAATATGAATCATGCAACAAGTAGTATTGCAGTAAAATTATCACTACCTAAGTAAAAAACACAAGCTAGTTTCTGAAAACATCTATTAATAGACATTTACGTACCTTGTGAACGAAGTTATTTTCTTTCTTTATTTTACAATTCATCAAGAAAAATCAACGTAGCTACGCATTCGACTTTCCTATAATGAACAAGCCGTATACATTATCTCCAACATGGCTTTAATTAACCATTAATTACACATCACGCTCCATCCTTTTGTAAATTGATACATATCTTTTTTTCCTCAAAGCTCCTTGCATGAAAATCGGGAATATACTTCATTTAAACTATCCCTTAGTCCATCCAATTTCGATTAAAACTAACAGTACGAAACACTATGAGTTCCAATATAGTATGCTGAAGTCTAATCGTAAGGTGAAAACGTAAAAACCTAATCCCGAGATATATATTAGTTTATCAAATTTATCAAAATTTCACTATTAACCTAATTAAGGTGAAATGTTGAAATCTAATCTCCTCCAACGCAGAAAAATGTATGCAATGTCCGTATCAATAAATTCTCGATGACGAAGCACTACGACACGTAATGAATAATCGATCGGGGTTTCGGTTGATGGAAGTAGTTTTATTCGAGCATCAATCATGTAACAAATAACTATTGCAGTAAAATCATCACTACCTACGGCACACACACACACACACAAAAAAAAAAAAAAAAAAAAAAAAACTAACAATAGAACTTCAAAGTAGGTAGTGATGTAAAATCTTCACTTTTTCCCTTTTATTTTTCTTTCCCATCTCCGTTCTGGCAGCGTCTAATAGGCATTTCAAATTAGGAAGATAAATTGCAGAAGAGCTCGCAATGCCCAAAGGTACAACCTGTTGCAGCGCGATGTACAAACATCAAGCAGCATTTTTCCCTCTTTTTTCTTCTTCATCTTCACTTCTTCGCTTTTATTTTTCTTTCCCATCTCCCCCGCGGAGAAGAAACTGAAAAACACAAAAAAAAATTACCGCGACAATAGGGCAAGGGCTGCGCCACCGTTCTGGCGGCGTCCAATAGGCAGTTTTCACCACTGCGCCGCCAGTCAGCGGCTTCTTCTTCCTCCGGCTGCCTCATCTCCAACAGGTGAAAAATGGACGATTATAATTATGCTTTGTTCGACACGACAAAAAAACTTCGATCGTTTTGAGTAACATTCTAAAACTCTATTAACAATTAAATTTATTATTGTTTTTATTTTTTCCCTTTTTAAATTCCAATCCGGACCAAAACCCCATCCATATATTTGTCAAAATAAAAATATAGATAAACATCTATAAATTAATATAGTTAGAATTGATAAAATTCTATTAATTTAATGGAATTTTAAATACCGAACTAAAAATTTAATATGTCTTTTTACGGAATGAGGATTAGAAAAAAATATTATTTACGCGAGATTATTAATGTATCGAAGTTCTACTATAAAACAAAGTCATACGAGTCCAGTGAAGTAAGCAAATCAGGTCTCCATATCGAACTTCTGCTGTAAACCAGAATTAGAGCATCTCCAATGGAGAAGCAAATCGAGTCTTTAAATTCTGTTTTGGAGACTCGATAGATTTTTTTTTTCTTAGTAAAGACCCGATAAAATTTTAGAGTTTCTAAAAGCAAAATCTCACAATGAAGGATCTGATTATAAGTCTCTGAATCATGTTACGTAGTATTTTATATGGCAACGAATATATGCAAGATGGAAATTACTAAGTGCAAGACCTAAATATAAATAAACTTACTAAGATCAAGATTGGAAATTACAAATATAACCCCAATATTAATTTAGATATTATTAATTCAAATTAGGCTAATTGCTATTGCAAGATCAAAAAAAAACAAAAAAAAAATAGAATAAAAAAAAAGGAAAAAACGAGAGGGAACTCACTCCCCCAACAAAACCCCAACATCTTCTTCTTCACACTCACTTTACACACTTTTTTCCACAAAAAAATCTTCCATATTCTCTAAAACCCTCATCACACAAAACCCTCAAATCTTACTAAAACTTGAAAAGGACATTATGGATACAAAAGACATATATATGGAGGATTCTAAGGTCGAAGAACACAAAGTGGTAAGAAATATTGTACTTTGTGATCGTTTTTCTCGTTTTTCGCACCTCATTTCACGTACAAAAAATTCAACGTGTACAGGTCGAAATATGCTCCGAATATCGACACACTAGTGTCGAAAATTTCAACATAAATCGACAGTACTCTTTTACTGTCGATTTTTATTGAATTTTCCGACACTAGTGTGTCGATATTCGGAGCATATTTCGACACTGGTGTGTCGATTTTTCACTGTTACAATTGTGTAACCAAATTTCCGATTTTTCTTGCAGAGTTTTGTACCTAGCGCGTGTAGTGGACCTAATGCATGTAGGGAATTAGCTTTGGATTATTCACATGAATTTACCATCCATGAGGAGTTTGCAACAAGGGACAATTTAGTCACATGGGTGCGCGAAGTTGGTATGCGACTAGGAATGATAATGACGGTAAAGTGGGTATGCGACTAGGAATGACAATTTAGGACTCCCATTCCTAGAGATTGTGGGTATTACTTCTACGAATAAAACGTCCTAGAAAAGGGTTCAATTGCTTATGAAATTGCGGGAGATTACTCAGCCCGAGAGTAACTCTCTCATTGAGCCAATGCAAAAGGTTGTTACCAAATGTCGTCCCGGAAAAATATTGCGTATTGATAAATCAACCCGACGCAACCCATCCAAATTTGAGTACGAGCTTAATTCAAGCAAAGATAGTTGTTCCCCAAAGATAGTTTTTTTGAAGTTTTTATCTCATAGTTCATTTTTTGGTTTCTCATTTAGTAATACGTGATATTGGTTAAACATTGTAGATTATGACTCCTGAGAGTTGCACTCCTATTTCTGGTATCCAAAAGCAACGTGAATAGCTTATGCTGCAGCCGATCACTGTATCAATGGTAACCGACATCTTCAATCGAAGCACCGGTAAATCGACGGTGTTGGAAAAACTACCGGTAATATATAGTAAGGCGTAAAAATATATCAGTAGAATATCGACACCTCCGTGTCGAAAAAAACAACAATTCTCGACGAATTAGCGTCGAAATATGTCACATTTTTCGACATCAACATGTCAATATTTATCATATTTTTCAACATCAATATGTCGATATTTCACTGTAATTTTTTTTCCCATTCTATATTACTAATTTAACCTTCTTTTGTGCAGGTTCGAAAAAAAACTACCAATGATATATATATTAAACAAATACATCTGAAGTTCCGAAGATATGTTGGAGATATAAAAAATGTTGCGTCGAATGGTCATTGTGGATTTCGGGCGGTTGCATCAATGATGGGCTTTGGGGAAGATAATTGGAGTCTAGTACGAAGAGATTTGGTCGATGAGCTCATTATGAATGATGCTATCTACATGAATATCCAAAAAGTTCGAGATACGCTTGATGAATTGGAAGCGAAAATGAGGTGTTCGGTTACACCTGCCCCTTATGAAAATTGGATGTCGTTTCCGGATATGGGTCACTTTATTGCGTCTAAATATGACATTGTGCTCGTATTGATAACGCAGCTGCAGTGTCTTACATTTCTCCCACTCTCTAGTGACCCCGTGCCAGATGAGCAAAGACAAGAGCATGGGATAGCGCTTGTTGATGGAAATCATTTTGTGCATCTTGTTTTGAAGAAGAATTGTCCTCTGCCCCCTGTAGCAGATTATTGGAGGCGATACCACCACCCTAGAGCTAGTGCTTGGAAAACTATTGATATGGAGTCTAGAATTATTGCTTTTAAAGAGTTAGTTAATCGTAATTACGTATCACTACAAGAGACCATATGTATTGATATGTAGAATTGGTGCATTAAATATATTTTTGATGAAATATATATATATATATATATATATATATATATATATATATATATATATATATATATATATATATATATATTTTTTTTTTGATGAAAAAATTAGTTAACTCGTCCATTATAATTTTTTATCCAAAACATCCAAAATCAATAAAAACATCCGAAATCAACAAAAATATCTAAAATCATCTAAAAATTAAAAACATCCAAAAAATAATCAAAATCATCCAACTATCTACTTCTTTCTAAGTTTATTCCTCTGAAATGTTAGTAACGGTAGTGGAGCGGTCGACGATGGTGGAGCAGTTTGGGGAATACGCGGTTCCACTGAAAAATTATAAATAAAATATTAATCATTTATATAGAATAAAAAAAAAAGTTTGCAAAAAAAAATCAGTTTACCAGTCTTTTTTCGACATCTCAATGTCGCTATTTGTACAAAAAGTCGACATAAGCTCTGTGCCGAAAATTGTAAAAAAAATCGACACAGCAATATCGAATTTTCTCTCAAAACACGACATTAGGTTTATGTCGAATTTTTGTACAAATATCGACATTGAGATGTTGAAAAAAGTTCCAATAATCAACAATTGTGTGTTGTCAAAATTAGATGAAAAAATCGACACCAATATGTCGAAATATTTCCAAAAAATCGACAAGTACAGGTCATTTTTTGTAAAACCGCAACTCCTTCAACAATAGTGTTAGAATCGAACCCTAAAATTATCAACTATGTTCTAAAATGACTTGTATTCATTATTCTAACAATAAAATTATGTTTATCACATTTTATTTCTCAAAAAAGTTAATTCAAAAAGTAATTTCCTTACTTGCTTTTCGTGATATTGTTGTGGCGGGGTTGGGACAACAACAGTTGCAGGTGGGAGGTTCTAGTGGTTGTCGACTGCAACGGCGACGTGGAAGGTGGTGGACTTCAACGACGACGGCGACGGCGACGGGGCGACGACGAAGGGCGACGGCGAGTGCTGCAATTGATTTTTTTTTTGTTTTCTTCCCTTCTTCCCTCCTCCTCGTTTTTCAATTCTCGTTTTTCAATTTGTTTTTTCTTTCTTTTTTTATTAATTTTTCTTTTTTTAAATTGGTCTTGCAAAAGTAAATTAATAAAATAATTTTTATTTTGTTTGTATTTTATTAAGGTTATTATAGTCTTTTTATACTTAATTTGATAAAAAAAATTAATTTGGTCTTGCCCTAAGTAAATTTGTGATTCCAAATAGTCGCTGCCATTTTATATAGCCTTTAGATTATGGCTCAAGTTTTACTCATATACAATGTTGTAGAAAATTAAATTTTTTTGAACAACCTTAATTATTTATATATATATATCGATCCAAAAAAATATTTTTTTTAAGAGATATGAAATGTTGAACTACAACCATTAGATATGGTTTCAATTAAAATATTAGTAGCCCCCATGGGTGTAGCTCAACTGGTTCCGGAGGTATCAAGTTGGTGCAAGGTCCTAGGATCGAATCCTGGCAGCCCCAATATGGGAATTTCAACTCCAATGAGGGTTGGTTCCTTGTGGGCACAAGGTCCGGATCCGCTACCTTAACGAGCCGTTTAGTTACCAGGGCCAAGGCCCTGGGGGCGAGGAATTTCGCCTTTTGGTGCAATTATCCCTCCTGCCCTCAATTCATTTTTCTCCATGTTCTTCGCTATAAAACTTTTCAAGTATTGACAGCCAACTCAACCTTCTACATATGGAGATCAGAAAAATAAGAGACCGTCGAAGCAGGAAGTTGGCCGAAGTGGTGAGGCCTGGGAGTGGTGGAAATACGCCTGGAAACTTCAAATTCCCCCAAAAATAAAAATCTTTCTCTGGCATTTCTGTTCAGATATATTGCCCACGAACGAGAATCTTTATCGTCGTAAAATATCTTTTTCTCCACAGTGCATGAGATGTAGAGTTGGGGTTGAATCAGCATTACATGTTCTCCAATCTTTCCAATCTTGTCGAGCTGTGGGCGATATTTGGATATGCCCGCCATTTGATCAACTAAAAGTGCATTCAATCCAATCTTATTTGCAATTATTTGAGCTTCTAGTAACCAACCTCGACTAGGATTCGCTAAACTTGGCCACTACGATTATGTGGAAGTGTTAGGACCAACAAAACAAGGAAATGGACGGGGAGAACAGTCTACAAGCGGTCACAGTTTTGGGTTAGTGTAGAGACTACCTCAAGGAGCATTCAGAACATCAACTGTGTTCGTCTGTCACACAACCTCAACGACTCCCTATGAAGTGGAAGCCACCGGACTATGGAGTGATCAAAATTAATGTGGATGCAAGCTTTCCGCAAGGTGAGACATATTATGCTACTTCACTTGTCGCTCACAATTCTAGGGGCGAATGCGTGTTTTGAATGGTTCACAAGTTCGTCGG